TAGTCACCCGTCCGAGACACGACAACAGGGCAAGCAAAGCCAATGGGACAACTCTGTACTGGCCTACTAGGTCCCTCCAGCTCTCACGATCCCACAAGAGCCCTGCTCCATTGTGGGTCAGGCTTGCAGACGAGTGACACGAGGTCTGATCGATCAACAACAACATGCTTTGCCGCAGCCAGTGCTGTCACCGACCTCAATCTTTGTCAATCCATGCCCTACTTACACTGGCACTCTGCCTTCCTCTTCCGTGACAGGCTACTCCTTCCCCAGCAGCGCTTCCATGTCTTGTTGCCGGGCATTGTCATCTCATGCCAAAAGTAGGCAACAATGACGCCTAGATCTGTATCTTCATGCTCGACGCATTCAAATGGCGTCTACATTCATGTGTCTCTCAAAGCCACGACGAACATTCGAACCTCAGCGACAATATACAATTATAGCTGTTGCCTGAAAGTGATCTTTTGACAAACAGTCTCAATCAACGGTTTTTGCAGGTCATTGGTGAGTTCGCGTAAGACTCGGCATCTATCTAAAAAGGCAAGCCTACGAACATTGTTGAGACTTGCAACTCCAGCATATCTTCTTCCTTTTGCAGCATCCCCAATCTCTCTCTTCGCTTTGAGTCCTCCTGCAATATTATCACTTCCATGCCCGGGATAGCCAGCTATCGACGATCCAACCAGTCATGAGTCTTTCAAGGGGCTCATACGTAATTCCGCGACACTCTCAGGTCAGATGAGCGGCCTTCCACCTGTTGTTGAAAGCGAAAGGCGTTTCAGCTGATTTTTTTCATATAAGGTTTAGACCTATGTTGGTGAGTAGGGTTGACTGGTCCTTTTCAGAAGACAACGAGTATGGTCAACAGCGGGCATTCGTTGGTATGACGGAAATCATTAGATAGCATCCCGAACCGACAATACAGACCATATGATCTCCGAATCAGTGATTCTGTTTCCGTAGTCGATACTGATCATCTCGTCGTTTTCATACCAGAGGCTAAGGGTGTATGCAAAAAGACAGGCGGAGTGGACAGATGACCTTGTTATGCCCTCTTGCGCGGATCACTTCTAAATGCGATGACCAGGGTTGCAGATTTCTTGTGACGTGGTACATCACTTGGCATCTTTCACAATGAGCTTCAAGGATTGCAGGCGCTCGGTTGCATTTCCGACGAAGAGCAGAAATTCCTTGTGGACTAGTGCATTGTATTATTCATAGACGATACTACGCATCAGTTCCTTCAATCCGGTATTCGGTGGTATGGTCTAGTGGTATGACGTCACGTTGTGGTGCTTGCGAAAGCAGTCCCGTGCCAGCCTGGGTTCGATTGTACGATCCCTATCTTATCATTCGCCCAATCATTCGAAACTGACTGTTCCAACAGCCCAGTACCGCCAGTCACTTAACAGTGTCTCGCACATGGTAACTGCACCGTTCAATTCGGTGATCGTGGAACTC